ATTGTTCCATGTAAGTTTTATTTGTTCGTTTTATCATTCGAAAGCCAAATAAAGACTTTGATGTTAATGTTCTCAGGAATTCCTTATTTTACGCATAAAGAAGAATCCGGCTGATAAGATCACGTCTCTTGTTTTGCACTGGAAAGCTCTGGAAAGCTCTGGAAACTTGCCCAACATCCTCCTGAGAACAGAAGATTAAATCCACAGCATGAATAAACCGACACGTCGTAACTACAACTGGAGAATAAAGCAAGAAATAGCCAAGAGGTTTGATCACTGAGGAAGAAAAGCATGTTAAAAGCAATAAACCCATAAAGACAAACGGCAGAAAGCTAAAATCCAGCTTTTAGGCCGGTGAGTCGGACCATTTATCAGGAACTCTGAGAGCTGTAAATGTTATGTTTGCTTTAGAGAATAAAATGGGTTGTCTAGAAAAACACAAAAAAATAAACAAGGATGTTATCACAAACTTTCTGATGTGCAGATCCAGGATATTCAACACTTCTCCTGCCTTTAGAAACTCAAATCAGAGCTCATTTATAGTTAGGGGGAGAAGAAGATCTATAGTTTGTGCTAATTCAACCATTAAAGGAAGGTTTTACATCAAACCTAACTTGTTTCCTGCTTAAAAAGCTAATTCCCAGACTAAAAGCAAAGGAATCCCTCTGGCATCTGGAGCAGCTTCTTCTCCAATGATCAGCCATTTTTCTACAGGGAAGCTGGATGGGACAAAATAACCGGCTAAAACTAGTTTTTACTGTCACGCAATCAGCCCATAAAAGTGGCCACATAACGTTACATGACTCGGGTTTATGACGTGCGTTTAAATTAATGTTTGTTTGTCTCTTAAAGTACTCTCCATGGAGCCTTTTCTGGATTAAATCCACAATAAAAAGCATTTGTCAGTCTTTATGCTGGTCTCATATCAGTCTGTCAGGGTGCTGACAGTAAAAAAACAGCTAACTTTTTTATTGATGAAGAGATGAAACCTTATTCTTAGATTTAGTCAAAGTTTCTTCCCTTTTGAGTCAACTAAAGAAAAACTATTGTACTTTGGCCATGAGAGGCAGCTTATCCAATAAAAAAATACTGATAAGAATACAAAAAATAAACCGTTTATGCCTGTTTAAAGTTTTTTTTCCAGTGATGGAAGATACTCAACACAAATTGTGAGGAATATAACAAATGTTCGCACTTAATGGGCTTTTTTTTCTTTTTCTAAAGATTCCAAAGTGACTTATAAGTCTCTCG